GTGAAGAATACACCCCAGCTGTAGCAGCAGGAAAGGCAAAAAGATAATCGGCTTAACCCAAATTTATCTCTGGGTCATTATTAATTCAGCGGGCTCTTCCTGCTACAATAATAATCTCGTACTAGTCGCACCTCTCTGTCTCCCCTCTCTCCCTCTCGTTCACCTCCATAAATTAGGGAACCGATGAAAAATCTTCCTTGCCACAAGTTAATCGATACTCAGGATATTCCCGGTTATTACTAAAATGTGAAGAAGAAAACAGAAAAATGAACAAACAAGTAATTTCAATTCTTATTTTATCTCGTTACCTTGAATTTACATGCACATACGTATATTAAGTAGTATAGACGTATAAGTTTGTAATCCATTGTGGGTATGATGGAAACTACAGCACCTTCCACGGTTGGAGATATACTTAATATAGTAGTTTTTTCTACAATTACGACCGATGCGCAACTGATTCGGAGAGGTCTATAAAACAACTAAATCAGGCAGTGGGGTAACCCGGCTTTCGTGACCCTCGTTTTAAAGACAATCCTGGACAGCAAGTCAGAGGGTAAGGCATTGCGAATATGTCATCCACCCCATCCCCTAAGTGTCTGACTAAATTAAAAGTAAGGGACCAAGTGGAGACACGCTCGAACTAACCCTTGGGAGATAAAACGACTGTCCAAACAAAGAGAGCACTCGTGAAAAGAGAAAAAACGAAATAAATACACCGTCACTACCACCAACGAAGGGTCATAATGAACGCTCAAAGAGAAGAATCGTGGGCAGGATTGATGGGAGGACAAGGGTTTTGCAGTGGGTAAGGTGGAGGTTGAATCGTAGTCGTCACCGGTGGCTTGAGAAGCAATCTAATTCCCAGCCTGATGCAAATCGAGCTGGTAACTAGCGGTGCCCATGTCCATCCGTCAACCCTTGATACCCACCCTCGCGCGAAATGTGCTATACTCTTCTTCCATTTCCCCCCACATCCCTTCCTCACCACCCGAGCTCACGAGTCAAAAGCAATGCGCCGCAGGGAGCTGCTGACTTGGTTCCATCGATTCTTCGCACCTCCCTCCTTCCTACACTAGCAGTACAAATACGCAGGACAATACAAAGGAACTCGTAAGTTAAATGAGGTGGAGGATCAGTTGAATGTAGATGTGGAGGAGACCGACGATTTATACCTCAAAGTTGTCCAGGGTGCGCGTGAAAGCTTGCGTGCACGAGCTACGAGGTGGTGTTATGTGGGGAATCCTGTTCTAGCGCGTCAAATGTTGAGCTTGCGTGCTTCATACGTTCGAGGGACCATGCGTGAGATGTCGAATGTGCGTGTGGCTTGTTTAATCGATCTGCCGTGTTCTTGTGAATGTTATGTGCACTCTATTAAACCGAATCAGCGAAAAATTGCAGTACTAGCATGCTTACCCATCATCATTTGCTATTTAAACGAGGAAACTAGTGAGTTTTGATTAATATCTCACCATGTTGATTAAAATTTGTATAAATAGGGTGTACCATTCTAAATTACCTTCATAAATATTTCGTCGGGGAAGTCACCGGTTTCAGATGATCTTCACAAGTATTATTAGACTTCGAGGAAGGTATCGCACGGTGGCTTTCAATTTGACTCTAATCTCCAAGGTCATTTAAAAGTCAAATAAAACTTTCTTCATTGGAACTTTTGTTCTGTATCCTTGATTTAAAATGAGTGCCAAATTTCGTTGTGGAACAAGTTCTAGAGATTCTTATGTCACACAATTTTCAAGGTTACGTCAAGGACAAATCAAATATAATGAAATAATTGACATGGTGTTGAAATTACTACAATACCTAAGTGACGTGATACTTTGAGTAAAGCCAGACGCCAATATTGCAGCCAACTTTTGTCTTTAGAGACACGTGATGGTTGCATGCATTTCATTATTTAATCCATTTACTTGAAACTCAAGCTTATTCCTCTGAAATAGAATGTGGAATGTACGATTTCAATTAATTTCAATGATTGGTACTTTTGTGTTGAATCGTTACTACCAAGTGTAAAAGTGCGGTAAAAATAATAATGAGTGTATCGCTCCGAGCTAATTCACCGGGCCAATGCTGTCAATCAACACACACTCATCGTCGGAACAAAAGTCCTTGAACTAGCAGCAGTTGTGAAGGTAGCTCGTGAAATAATTTGATTTTTCACCCATGCGGGAATATATTCGCAGCTGAAAAGTCCCCTCGAATTCTCATAAGTGACGGGCATTAAATTAGTTTCCCTCCCTTCCTCGGGCCGTCGAGGCTTTCAAGTACCCTTGTAACAGACCCCTTCTCTGTCTGCCACTGCTGTAAGACCTACCATACAATCCATACGCGACACACATGCCAACAGGGTTGGAAGATATGCCAATTGGTAGGGAATGTCAATTTGGCGCCTCGGGAAATGGAGAAAGTCCCCACTTGTTGTCAGGATTGTTACGAACGCCGAGTTGGCCGACTAAAGCGACAAGGGGGTCCGGTGGAGGCTTGTTTTTTTTTGTCAATACCGCGAGCAGGGGGTTGGAGTAGTTGACCGAAATAAAAGAGCGTGCGAAACGAGGAGCAAAAAAAGATGGAACAAGGGAGCGTAGATAAGAGAGAGACGGGAAAAAAGAGGGTGTGAAAACTCTCGCTTGTACGCTTATAATTGCGAGAAGCCGTAATTAGTTTCGGAAATTTAATTATTTCCGGGGGGTGGCTCGCGCATGGAGGAGGCCGAGGTGAGGAGAGATTCTAGCAATAAGCGTGTCCCCGCACCAAGTGGCTGTGCGTTGTAGGGGTGGTGGAGGAAAAAAGAAGAAAGGGAGTGTAGAAAAAGTGCCAGCAAAACGAAGGCTGCAGGAAGAGTCATAGGGCCACAGAAAAAAGTACGAAAAAGTAATAGGAAGAGATAGGGGGGCCGTTTTCATTTCAGAGTAGTAAAGTTACACGACCATCCGTGGCTTCTCTTTGTGAGAGCAGCGGTGACCACCGACTTTTCTAGCGGATATGGTGTCTGCTGTCGCTGTGTGCGATGTTGAAATATGAGTTGCAGCTACTCGATTATTACTCGGGAGACCGATGGCCCTATTGTAAGATCGATCGGTCGGCGTACTCTGTTGGTTTTACCTGGACGGATTGTAATAAGTCTTTTTTTGGAATTTGAAAACAACGTTCGTTAGCACATTAGTCTCGAAGAGGAATACTGAATATCCCGTTAATTTCATTCACAATAGTTAAAGAAAAACAGAGTGTGTACGTTATTTTAGATAAAAATTATTGCATACAGCTTTGGCTATAGCTTAGTTTTGGTTATACGAAAATAATATATTACAAAAATTAACTTAACAGTGAATAATCTGTTGAATCATTGAACAATGAAATGGCAATGATATCGAATTAAATTTCATCAATTTTTCTTACAAGTGAAATTCCTTCATCAAAATTTTGAACAGAGCATATGTTGCACACTATTAAGCTTCACATTTGCTGTAAACATATTGTATTTCAAGCTTCCAATGCTTCATGAAAAGTTTATCGACGCTATCATAGAGATAAAAAATATCTACCCTCATCAAAGTGGTCAGTTGAAAGATCTTTTAGTTCTCAACGAGAAATATTGTCCCGTTGGCTCTGCATATTTTGCTTGTCACGAAATACTTTGAGACTCCCGCTCGTCCAAACAATAAAGGAGAAAGATGAAATGCAAGGGTATCCGAAAAACAAAGGCGAAAAATAATGTCAAAGGACTAGGAGAAGCAGTAGCTGCCGGCAGATTGCATTCTTAGAAATTAATATGTCCCTCCCGCGAGGCATGGTGTAAGTATACAAGGGGTGACCTGCGGTACAATGTCTCCCCGAAATTTCTAAAGACGAACGGTTAACTGCTCCCTTAAAAAATTCAACCCAACTTGCAGTCGCTCCTTTCAATCCTCTGTGCGTCTACTCCTCCACAATTTCTCCTTCGTCCCGTAGATTTCGTCTTTTCACGTATGTCTCTACTCTTTTTTCTAATCCCCCCCCCCCACGTTTCTACTTTTACTTTTGTTACTTGATATTTTTCTTACTCTGTTTTCTGGATCCATAAATATTGTAATAATTACTTGATATTCGAAGTTTTTTTTCCCGCTTAGCTCAGTGGTGGCAAAAAATGCTTTTTTTAAAGTCCAGTTCATTAAAATTAAAAAAAAAATTTAATCTAACAAGTATCTTAAAACCTCCGACAAATGTACTAGTTTAATGTTTAAAAATTAATGTTATCACTTGCGCATGTATTTTTTCACGAAAACAGGGATGTGCATAACTACTAACCAACCATTTTCAATAATTAAGGGACTCCGGATCTAGAGGCCATCCTGGTCCTCTGTAGAGCACAATCAGAGGTGTTTGTTCACACAAAACAGCCACAGCAACTGGCCCGAGAGATTTCATTTGGATTTTCGGCCGCTGCAGATGCTGCCACGGTGCAAGGCCGTAGCGAGACGTTCAAAAATTCATGGGCTTATTCATGAAGATTCGAAAAGTTTCAGAGTCGAGATTAGCCCGCCTGCCTACCGTTTCCTCTCGCTTTTCCCAGTGGCTCTGTACTTCCACTCTCGCGTAGCCTCACTTGCGACACGGCCGAAAAGACCCGAAAACTTGGCTGACGAGGAGTTTTTTCACCTTCCCTCCCTCTCCCTTGTTCCATCATCACCATTACCAATCTTGCGGCAACACTGATTACCTTTTCCCGATTAGAGTTTGTTCCCTCGGATATCAAATAGCAGCAGCCACAGATTGTTACTGTAATATATATCTCGCAACACATTGATTCCATCCACTCAAGGGTAAAGAATTAATTTCATAGATACAAGGCTTGCTTTGTTCATTTCATGCTTGTTTTTCCATGAAATAATATTTCTTTAATAAAATAAAAATAACAAGCGTGTATTAGAATATAATGTATAGCATAACTAATAAGAAAAATCTTGAACTTAAACTCACATCCAGATATTACGTTTCTGTTGCAGCGATTATAGCGCAGTTCTTCTTCCTGGCATCGTTCTTTTGGCTCAACACAATGTGCTTCAACATCTGGTGGACCTTCAGGTTAGTTTACTCTTTCACAACTTTTTCTAATTTTTTTTATGTCTTTATGAGATCCCTTACCTCTATCCTTTTACTCCATCTCTACATTGCAATAACAATAGTTGAACACAAGCTGCATTCTATTTTTGTAATGTCCACAAGTAAAAAAACCATGCAGAAAAATTTATTCGATGTAGTAAACATGTTTACGCATCGAAAAAAATGTATCATCCTCAAACGCTGAGGTGGTACTGCCGATACTTGCTATGTAAGTATGCGGTGTATATCTGTAAGAACTACACACTGCAATATTATACAGAAAATCACAGAGAGAGACATGTGCACATCGAACACCCGAAATTAACATGTACATTTAATATTTAACATAAATTATCATATTTCTTTCTTACGTGCGTTTACATATTCATGCCTGTGTTGTAAGTTTGAATTCCTATTGCAGTTATAATTTTGAATAGGCAAAATTATGTACGTTAAAATTGTTTTTTAATTCTATAGCACTTTGTGTTTTATTGTTAAATTACGTTGATGGGGCACATCGACCCGAACAAAACAAACAGTACATTAAAATTTGTAATGCCAGATTACCCCATTCCTAGCACTCTCGGATAAAAGTAGCTACAGATTTACAAAGTATATAGTTGCTTGCAAGCATTGTTTTCCCTTTGTTTATTTCAGACGCTTACATCCGCATTGCATTTTGTAGGTAAACTGTCGCCGGGACGTCTGGCCTCTCTAGGGAATACTCAGAGAAATTTTGTGCCTCCCAGCTATTTTTATCCATTTTTTTTCCCTCCCTCTGCTCTCTTACACCATCGCGTGTGCACGTAACTACACGTACGTAGGAACAAAAGAAGGGAGGGAAGGTGGACGGGGAGGAATAAAAGTGCACGTGGCGTGTAAAAATCTCGCGGGAGTTGGGACGACGCGACAGAGAAAACTGCCGAGTGAAAGAGAATCCGAGCCCCAGCGTTCGCTCATTTCCGGGACTTTACCTTCCGGAATTCATGAGCGGTCGTCGTCGTAGACGGCACCAGCTGGTGTCAAGGGAACCAAGTTTTGTCCTAGTTTTCAACACTCGTGGTTGTAGCCTTAGTTGGTCGGGAAAGAGAAAGAGAGTTAGTTTCCGGAATCTCCCTAATTGACGAGAGAACGTCACGGGCGATGGCGCTTCTCTAGTTGATGCAGCTACTACCCCGTGACATTACGACTACTAGGTACTAGTCTGTGGGTACAAATTAAATGCACTCGTGCGCGTGAGAAGTACAGAGGGAAACTGGGCGTGCAGTACAGCCAAAGAAAATCTTCATTATCCTTATTAGGGGGTAAGAACGATGTGGCCCTCAATGAAATTTAATCTTTTGGCAACTAAAAGGCCTATTCAGTTGCTGAAATTCTTACGCTTATAAATGACTGATTTATTTGTATGCTTGGAAAGATTGAGGGTCCATCGTTGTTGGCGAGTGCTTGGTATTTCATTCTAAAGGGTTAAAGTAAAATCAGCTGGGGAGGCAGGGTTAACGGGGCATCGGAATACTTCGTGGACCAATTTAATGACACGGGGCTATTTGGGAATGCTTTTAAGCGTTGCATTTGAAGTATTGCATTCAAACGTATGATGTATCTTTCTCTAACAAGTTGCATCACTTCTGATTGCTTTCATTGTACTTTTATATAATACTGATCTGTAAAATTTCTGTCAGATGATCAACAATGTACATACTAAACTTTTAACTATTATGCCATACCATCTTAACGCGATCGATAAGCAATTACTTATTTATTATCCAAGTTATTAATTTACTCGAGTTATTTATATCGCTCGTTACGTATAATTGAAGTATAAATCTGAACGACACAATGATGGGGTGGTCTGCTTATTTTTATCGTCAAACAATAATTCTCGAGCGCTTTTTATCATTTAGGCGAATTATTAAGTTTCTTTGATGTTTTATGGTAGTTACAGAAAAAATAAAATCACACCTAACACAAAAAAAAAGTTGTCAAGATTGCGTAACAAGTATACATTTTACTGACCTACGGTTAGTAGGAATCTCATTCGTAATGGAATCGAAAAGAGAGCGGATACTTTTGTGGAAAAAAAAGACATCCTTTTACTTTACTCGTACAAACACGCGTTATGTATACTCTTGTGAGGTGAGTACAAATGGATGACGAAAACGCTCTCGGCTTTAAGTTAACGTATCGTTGTGAAGTCGCTCCAGTTCCAAAGAAGGAACTCCGAGATCTTACACCAACGTGCCACACTTGGTAAGATCCATCAGTAAGAAGTGCTAAATAAGCAGCCTAGCGTGTGGAGAAAAAATGCTGACTATAAAAAAAAGAGTTTCTTTCGTCTACCTTTGGAATCTATTGTACACATAAGAAGGCACAAAACGACGGAACAGAGCGGCAATGTATAGAGAAGAGAGCATCGTACAGCAACTTTACCGTGGTGGTCCTTTTAAATGGCCCGTAAGTTCAAAAATATTTATTCTGCTCTTAGCGAGGATCCATAGGAGAGGGATTTATTCGGAGAAATAGATTGCACATCCGTATATATGTATCTATACTTCGTATTTACGAATGTCAGTTCGTTGAACTTTCCTTGCCTACTTTTGCTTCCTCTCGAGCTTAGCTTTTTGTACGAGAAGTGGTAAAATAAATAGTTTCGCTCCTGATTTTTTTCTGATGCTGGCAGTGTGTAACCAGTTAAGTGAAAAGTCGGAGCGAGATTGATGGATTAAACAGTTGTTCTCGGTATCTCTGCTGGGGAATCGATTAAACATCTTTTCTTTTTCGTACAAGAAGTAACGTTAGAAGTTCACTTTGTTCACAAATTGAATTAAAGAGCTTTAATTTACTGTTTTAAAATATACAAGAAGAAACCAATAAACCGTACTTAATTTCTCACCAAACTATTCATAACGGACCCCAATAACACAATATCTCAAGAACCTAAGAATAGAAAAATTACTTTCTCTCTACAGAAGTAAAAAGTAAGACAATGACCGTCGAAGTTCTTTCGGAAGGCTTTCATGTTAGCCGAAATGTACGCGCTCACGTACCCCCTTTCTCTCGCGACCATGCACGTTTTTACACAAGCCCAAGTTAAAAGTGGTCCAGACATCAGGGGTCTCGCTGCTCTCCACCTTCTCTGCGTGGTTATGAATATTCACAAAGTGAATGGCAGTGTACGCAACGTGCTGGCACGTACGTGTGAGTATGCGTGTTTTCTTATACGTTTGTAAGTGCATGTATGTTAAAGAGGCGCAAGAACGTTTGTCCAGAATTCATATGACGTGGATTGATGGCAAAAGTATCTATACAGAAAAACAGTAGCAGCATACAACTGACCGAGCAATGACCTCACACTTATCAGTTAATTGTGCTGTCTTTGCCTCTTCTTCCTTTCTCGAGCCTTTTTGCATTGCAAAATCAAAAAATTATCATGACCTATTGCAATAAGCATAGTATTATTAATGGTTAAGTACGAATCTTTCCCTGCAATCGCTGAAATCAATGCCATGTATAATAAAATTCGATTACGTGCGGTTTTTGCCCTGCAATTGGTTGTACTATGACCTAAAATCAATACCCATCCGACACCAACAGCATTTAAAATGGTTGATAACTCTACGCTTCCATATTCAAGTTTCATGTCTACATTTGCATATCATATCAATTATGAGCGTAATTAATGATTGAATAACATAACTGATAATACAATAGAAAGTTCAGTTGGATAATTTTATAGCCTCGCTGGTTTAAAAACCTGACAGCAATTTTTTTTAAATATAAATACAAATTATTTTGGTAAATATTTGCAGTTGTTAAGTAATTACAATAAATTCATTACTAATGTCAATACTACTTTTCTGTAATGCATACATTGAAACGTTTCAAAAACAACCATCTTCCAGCAATGCATAACCACAGTCCATATGGTGCACTTGGTTATCGAACCACCAGTACTGTTCTTCTTTCTTATGTTTTTCACATCCCAGAACCATTTATTTATATCTGCTGATCATCACCAACAACAACCACACAATGTTAGCCTCTCGAACTAGCCTCGGGTTACGGCAAAAAGTCCGAGAAAAATGATTGCTGCTCATCTCTTACCCTCGAGAAATCATCCATCAAGCCACGTCCTCGTGACCTCGCTCGTGACTGCGTCGTTAAGAAGAAATAAGCCTCTCGTGGTACAAGGGTACATATACTCGGATATCAACGTAATATATCTCTTGCGTTTTTAGTAGTGCAACTTGACCTATACTCTCGCATAGTTCATGCTACACTCGAGACGACGGCATCACGCTCGCACGTGACGTGTTGATACCGCCCTGCCTCCACGTCCTTTCTTTCTTCTCTTTCGTGGTAAGGATATACCTTGAGACTCGCCAGTGGTATACCATAATGATTAAAGGTGCCTCACGTTTCGACTCACTCGTCATCGTGGTGCATGCTGTACGTTGTTATATACACGTGGTGCTGCAATATCCTTTGTCCGGATTTTTTTTTTTTTTTTTTTACTTCACAGGTACTCCAACATCCACTTGGCTCCTCAACTTGGCAGCAGCAATAGTTTTAAGAAAATTGAAGAAGCAGTATTTAAATGTGATCGGTTTGAATAACTATCCTTGACGAAAACGTTGGAGGGTATTGACAATACCGAGACAAACAACTGTTGAACCAAATAACCTCGTCAAAGAGTGTTTATGGACATGTACCTACATCGTATAATGATGGAGAGCGTCAAGAGCACTTAAAGTTTATCGTCAAGAGCAGGAATGTACTGCATAGTTTTGTACCCTCACGACCAATCCCTCCTTTGTATGCTCTGCATAGTATTGCATACCTACCCCACTGATACACGAATTGTATGGTGTACACCAACATAGTGCTAAAAATGAGCTCGACTTGGCACAATAAATCTCCATAGGTTCTGCTGCCATGACCATCAGTCCCTGCCTATAATGTATAGGCACATTCCTTAGCTG